TAAACAAATTTACTTTCTACTTCACAGAGTTTTTTCCCGCCTAGATCATTTTTTTATCAGTTCTTCCAACTCCTGGTCGCCTCTGAAATCAACCCCATTACCTGGTGTCTGACCATGCCTCTCTGACTTTAAACCTTTTTTTCCCTCCTATTATACCCAAACCATGTCATTGGCGCCTAATGAGGGTTCTTTCTAAGAACATCTTAGGGATGATGTCACGGGGGACTTGATACCTATTTCAGAAATGTTGGCTCCGTAGCTTCTTCCTCAATGGGAGGCTCATAAGGCGGGTATTTTGAGGACTCTGTATTTCTATGGGTTCTCGTTTAAAAAAATCTTCAGCGAGTGCTAGGGCTTCTCTCATCCATCAAACTGTCTTTGGCAGAACGACAGTTGTTGGCAGCCGTCCATTTCTGGGCTCCGGAAGGTAACATCTCTACGTGACCGCATTAAAACACCTCTTATGGGTTAAGCAAAAATACGAATTTTCCAACAAACCTCATCGTATGTTAAGTCAATCGACTCAAAGTTCAGTCTCCTGACACGATGCCTGATCTTTTTAATCCAACCAAATGGAAGCAACCTATGATAGGTCATGGCATCCCTTTTTGGACTATAAGAATCTTTATAACTGTTTGACCCCAGACCTTCACCCCGCCCCTCTCAGGCAGTTATCTGTTTGATAATTTTTTTGCATTGCCACCCTTAACGCTGATATTACGCCAGAGGAATTGTTTGCCAACAAACATCTTCCCCCTCTCGTAAAGCCCCAGGACCGGACGGATCCCGGAGATCTTTTCAAGGGGTCAAGACTGAATTCTCCCGAGCATATATCTGCCCCCAAACCCGATAAAGATCACTATATAGGTAGACAACTACCGTGCCCCAAACTCCGTTAAAGATTTTCAAGGCCAGACTGTCCTGGAATTAAGTGGTTTGCAAGACACGCTGCAGATAACACCATTTCTGGTTACTTGATTAACATGCCGCCTAATATTATTAATTTAGATGCTCAAAAAGCTTTTGAGCAATGTTCATGGTCTTGGAAAGATATGGTTTCAGGGGTCATAGCACCCTTGATGGCCCATTATTCTTCCCCCCCTTTTCGCAGGTCAATTAGCCTCTTTTTTTTCACTCTGATGTCAAATGGTACAATGTCGCCAGGGTTGCCCACTCTACCTTTAACTGTTCATGGCTCTTTGTCTGGAACCATTAGCCATCGCCATAAAGTCGAATCCGGATATTCGGATAACCATGAATACAAATTATCCGCTGTTTGCTGATGACCATCCTCCTCACGCTTCAGCGATTCCTCATAACCTCCCTACCGATTTTGTACATAAATGCACCGTCTAAAACTGAGGCCACTTCCGATACATTGTCCCTTCTGGGGGTTTATCCTCGCTTCAGCGAAGCCTTACCCTACCCGGTAGGCGTAGCAACTTCCTCTTACCAATATAGTTCCCCCCCATTATTTTATAGAATAAACACTGGTTTGCACCTTTCTTACCAGCCCATTATGATTCAGATGTACCCGTGTTTCCCAAACTGTTATACCTGTAAGCGACTCCCTCTCTCCCCCGTTCCCGTTCCTATGTCCAAACTTCACTCAAAAAAATCTTTTCAGCCATTTTATTTGGCACAACTGCGGCACAGGATTGGTTTGGCAGAATGGCAGGAGTTTGCTTTTGCTTCTCCCTCCGCGTGTCTAAGGGGGGGCTTGGGGGGCTACCAGGGATTATAAATAACAAACTACTATGCAAACTCATCTTCGTATGTCCATATAAAACACTCTGATTGGGACATCTTTACAATGCATCCATGTTTCCCTATCCTTTGAGTGAATCATATTCCTTGGTCCCATGCACTTTTCTCTGGCTGTTTGGCGGAGTAAGGCAAATTTTAACACTGCCTCTGATTGCTCCCCACTGACAAATATTCTCCATAACCTAATCTTCCAGATAATATGCCAAGTCCCCCGATGTCTCTTTGGTAGCAGCTAACCTTTTTCAATTGGCCGTCACTTGGTACACCCGGTGACTTTTAAGTTACACTCATTCCCAATATCTCCCAGAAAAAATCTCTTCTACCTTCTCAACACCTATATATTTACCTTCAAATACGGTACTTTTTTTTAATTTTTAAAATAGACTGTCCTTTGAACGTTTATGTAACCAAAGGGGTATTTATTTCCACATTACTTCTAGGAATGCCACTCATGCGTAGGTGGTCTCAATTCACAATGTGATAGATCTATGTGGAAGAAAATGAAAATGCATCTAGGCTTAATGATGTTTAAGGTAGAAGTTGCTCATGCAGTTATAATCCAAATGCTTCCCTGCCTGCTGGCGCTGGGTGGAGACCAGGGTTCTCTCTACCAGTATCTTTTGGACATGCAGCTTTTACATCCTTTCCTGGAAAGATTTCTCTCCCTGTTAAATCACTAATGCGTACCTCTCTCCCATTTGATCCACTACATTTTTTTGCTAGGTCTAACATTTTCCGTTTACCTAAAACCATCCGGAAAACTACAAACAGAAGCATAAATGTGCACATTTTACCCCTCCTTCAAATGGCAGTATTGCTGATGTTAAAGATGGAATACTTGACTGCACTACATAATAGTTTTTTGCATAAGACCTGGCCAAATTTAAATAACCTTCTTGTTTTTTTATGTTTTTTTGGTCCTACGCAGTTTTGCCAATCGATGTAACTTTCTATTTTCTCCTTTTCAGTTTTTTTTTTTTTTTCTTAATACTGTATTGTATATTTTTGAAAATCAAAACAAAAAAAAAAAAATAGATCTTGGAGCTGGATAGTGGTCTTTGTCCCAATGTGCATAAAGTGCAAGGGCAGGGTTTGGTGCAATATGCATTATTGTCATGGTTGAAATGAGAGAGAAAACTTGATGCCAGTAGGAATGGAAAATTTATGATACCATAAGGTATGGGCAAGGGATCCTTTATCACCACATTGTCTCCAACAGGTTGGGCAATGGTCAGGGTATATATCTTGTAAGGCATCAAACCAACAATGTAGTGTTTTTAGGAAGAGTGCCCAGTTGGTGGGATGGGATACAGCATAAGTACCTGCAAATGCCTTTTGCCACATTAGGGCAAGAAGGATTCATCCAGCTCCCAATTATGCAAAGCATCTGGGAGTGTATGGGTAAGTAAAATAGCAAGATGCCTTTCTTAGGATACTTAGATCTACAATAGAATGGATGGATGTGCAGTGGTAGAGAATCTGTCTCTGACAATGCAGTTGAGTGAAATAAGTGGGGTAACTGGAGTAACTGGAGGTGACTGAAGAAATCCATGCCTTTTAAATTATACTCTATACAAAGGGAGCTAAAAGATATTATTATATGATCAACATATAGATATAGGAGGTAGCAGATATTGTGATTACACCAATGTATATTAAAGTCGCAAACAAACAAGAGTTTTACCAGCACACTTACCAGGCATCCCGAAAAAAAAAAAACAAACAAAATTGCCCCGTCTAACATTTTACGTTAAAAACAGGGGGTTTTGTTTGCACACATTTGCAAATATATGCGTAAGCCACACTACCCATGTCATGGGACCTTTGTATATACCCTAACTCTATAATTTTCAGAGTTTCCATAGTTGGAGAACACATATTAATAGGTAGTTCAATGTGTAATGAAAACTTGCAGGAGGGTCATTTAGCAGAGGAGCATGTGTGCATTGATGTGAGGCCTTAAGTGATGCTATGTGCATTGGGTAGTCCACAGAAGGAATAGGGAGTCCAGCACTAATGACCAGGAGGGATCCTGTAAGCACAAATGGGCAGTAAAGAGAGGTCTCATGATAGACCATATTTTATCTTTGGTAGGAACAGGTTTCTTTTTCTTTTTTTTTTTAAATAGTCATACTTGTTTTTCTTAGCAAACATTGCAGTTTGGTGAAATATAGTGGTGACAACATAGAGTGACATGTCTGACTGCAAAACAGTTACACCCCCTCTCACACAGAAAACTGAAATGAGTCCATGCAGCCTTTGATTTTTTTTTAAAAACATGTTAAGTGCACATTTTAGGTCTGAAACACCAAGACATTACACATTTTCTGAAAGCAGAGATCCCTTGGGATAAAATGGTTGCAGTTGCAATTTTTATGCCATAAAATATGATAGTAGTCCAGTATATTTAGTAAAAAGATTCAAATACATTTTAATGCACATGAACACAAAATAATACCACATTTTTTGTAACATATAAAAGATGAGGTTGTGTTGAGTAAATAGATACTAAATGTGTCAAGCAGCAAAATGACATGCCCCCATAAAAAATAAGAAACTATGGTGCCATGGGAAACACTTTAAAAGCCCTCATAGCTCATCAGTTCAGAGTTAGCCATGAAGAATGGGCCTAAAATGAGTTCTCTTACTGAGCAATATGTAATGGTATGTGAGTGTGAATTTGTGTTCATGTGGGTATATAAGTAGGAGTGGGGGGGCTTTTAATTTTTTTTGTTTTTTTTATTAAAAAAATATATTTTTTCTTTTTTAATTTTACCCTTATTATCACATGAAGGCTCACAAGTCTCCTATGTGAGAACATAGTCCAAATGACAGGTTCTTTTTAAGAAGACATCTGGAGTACGAGTCACATGCTTTCATCAGCTGAACAGAATGGCAGGAGAGTGACCATCCCAGGTGTTGCTGGGAACAACTGCAATAAAACCTGGGCAAAACACATCTTTAGAAAGAAATGTTTAAACAAAAAAAAAAACTTTTTCAAACAGTACTTAATGAATGTGCATTTCATAACAAAAAAAAAATAAAAACGTCCTACTGAGTTTAGAAAACATGGCCATCTACAAGGTCTGGATGCACATGGTGGGCCATACTAGACAGGAAGACTATTTGCCATTGCACATTTTCATATTAATTGTTTGTTAATTTTAAAATTTGAATAATGTGGAATGTAAATGCTTAATTGTGGCTGTAATTGTGTTTTATTTATTTTAAAGGTGTCATCAGAACAGCTTTACCAAACATGGACAGAGAAGTCAAAGAACAGTATCAAGTCCTTATACAAGCCAAGGATATGGGAGGGCAACTAGGAGGTTTAGCAGGAACTACAACTGTTAATATTACGCTCACTGATGTTAATGACAATCCCCCTCGATTTCCAAAAAGTAGGTGCTTTTGCATGTTTTTTTGCAAGATTAGCTCATATATACTTTTAAGTATAATGTTTTCATTACTTTTCCATATTACGAATCTAAAATCTATATAATCTAGATAAATATTGAAAGCAAAATGCACACTTGTAGCAAAAACTTATAATCTTATGGTGTAACAAGGTAAGGGTGTAACAAGGGACATTTTACATGTTTTTCCTTTTGCATGAATCAGATCAGATATTCACTCTATGGGTCTTTTAAAAGTCTCCATCCCGTAAGGAATGGTAGTCTGAATAAAAAATTTTGGACACATTTTAGTGAAAGTTTTGTCTTTGAAAAGGTTTTAGGCATCCAAGGAATTTGGAAGAATGGTTTATGTAAAGTATTGTTAATGATAGATTACTATTGCTTAGGAGGTAAATGAAATTGCTATACATGTCCTCACTCCTCAGTTTAAAATGTATATACCAGCAGAGGTTTGCTGATACCTTTCCAAAGACATACAGTAATTGTAGGTTAATAGCCTCCTGTATACATTGGCCCTAGTATAGATTATGTGAGCTAGGGACATTACATTTTAAACTACTTGAGGGCAGGGACTTATGTGAACAAAAAGTATGTAAATGCTAAAGTGATGTTGCTATATAAATATCTGTAGTAGCTAAATAAACTATGGGAGCAAATGTTTTCATTTTTCAGCCATTTTCATAGCTAATTTGCAAACCTTTGGTAAAAAAAAAAAAGGCCAAGGGCAGCTGGGCACTGTCATGGCAGTCAATACTAATGTAAAATAATATTAATAATAATAGAAAATAATTAAATAAAAAATTTAAGATAATGTGTCTTTTCATGTGGCTTAAAAGGCAACAATGAAAATGCAAAAACCTTTAAATAACATGCTTGGAGGATGTCTTAAAGCCACATATGAAGTCCCAAAATAGTATGGTGTAGTCCTTTAAAAGTGACATAACAACAACAATAATAACAACATATTTGTTCAATTATGTTGTCTATTGAGCGAACTGTTGTTTACATTGCAGCAGTGCTGGGGAACTGTCATTTAGTAGTGTAGTGCTGTGAGCTTTGGGTTGTGGTGGTTGTGGAGAAACATGATGTGATTAATTATGAATTGTCATTGGGAACATTTGTTACCCTTTTTTATATAATATATTTTCTATTAAGATTGTCATCATTAGAACTTACAAAAAGAAAAAAGGATGAGGCTTAGATTTATAGTAGAGCCCATAAGTAGAGTAAATACACTAAGGTGTCCGTTTATGAACCAGCAGTAATAGATCTCTGCTCAGTTCTCCGGCATTCTTGGAGAACAGTTCTGCTGTGAATGCCGTTTATGAAGCATATGTAGATCAGTTCTCCAAACGAAGGGAGAACGGTCTACAAACACTGGAAAACGGCTGATTTTACTATAATCTCGTGAGATTACAGTAAAAGATCAGTTTACTAAGCAGAGGTAAATTATCTCTTCTTAGTTTGCGGTCCCTCCAATTCTCCAGCTCTGGGCTGGAGAATCTGGAGGGAGAACACAGATCTCCAGTGAAGGGCTGAACATGTTCTCCTGAGTGTTATAAACTGTGAATGACCAGAGAATAGCTGCGATCCTCTGAATCACAGCTATTCTCTGTGTCATAAACGGACACCTTAATGACATAATTTTGGATCTTGGTATACATTGCTATAAAATTGTAAAGCAACATTGCTATTATGCATATAGAGGTGGGTACAAGGTATTATATACCAAAGACCAAGATTAGATACCAAAGACCAAGGTTAAATATTAAAAAGGATGACTCAAATAAAAAAGAAAAAAAAAAGGTAAATGGACCTGTTGGCGAGATAGTCAATGTTTTGTAAAGAAATGGAATTTATCCAGGGGAGCCATGTTTCCTTAAAATGAGAGTGTTGATCATGTAACTATGCTGATACAACAACTACTAAGTGAATTATTGACATATCCTTACACATTCTACTGTATGTCCTACACCTTGCAGCAGACTATTCATAGGGATAGAAATCTATAACCAAGATCAACAGGCAACTTAATAGCTGGGGCTGAGCATTACCATGCTAAGATAAAAGCAGAAATAAGAGAACATTTATAACCGAAAAAAAGTATTTGGTATAGTTATGTTATTATCCTTGACTATCAGCAATTTTTGAACAGCAACATAAATTATGTGTATAGCTCCTCATTTCATCTAATGTTTTCACATGTACGTACATGGCCATGCAGGGGCCATACAGTGCTCAGAGCCTTGGTACTCACTTTCCTGGGCACTGTAACTGCTATGTACAGCCACCCATTGAAATGATTTAGAACACGCAGCTGTACACAATTATGTGCCACTATTTGGATTGGAGCACACACCCATCTACATGTGGGTGCTTTACACAAACCCCTGAGGTATAACTATGTACAGCAGCATCTTCTAATTAACCTCAATGAGCGGCTGTTTGCAGAATTCTCAGGCCCCAGGAAAGTGGTTATGCAGGCTCTGCATAATCATGCCTCAGTATGGTCATGTGCATGAGGCCTAAAAGTACTGTATTTTTCGCCGTATAAGACGCACTTTTTCTTCCCCAAAACTGGGGGGGAAATGTCAGTGCGTCTTATAGAGCGAATATGGAGCGGCCGGTCCGGTATTTCCACCGTGGCCATGTCAGAATACCGGGCCGGCCGCTCAGCTCTGCAGCGGGACCTTACCTGTTCCTCTATCCAGCGGCGTGCTGTCTTCCCAGCTTCTGTAGTGTGGGCACTGGGCATGACAGCCGGGTGCCAAGTGCGCATGCGCAAGAAGCGGTGCTTTTTGTGAATGGTAAGGCGGTACCTGGGACACATGACAGATCCCAGAAGCCGTCGGACCAATCACAAAGCACAAGTGCTTCTCGCTCATGCGCACTGGGCACCCGGCTGTCATGACGAACGCCATTACAGAAGCCGGGAAGACAGCGCGCGGCTGGATCGAGGAACAGGTAAGCTCAAACAAAAACTCTGCGGAAGTAAGAGCGGGTACCTGTCAAATTCAGGTACCCGCTCCCCACCTCCCCAAAGGTCAGCAGTCATCTGTACTGTCCGCAGTCTCTGGTCATCCCTGTGCTGTCCGCAGTCTCTGGTCATCCCTGTGCTGTCCGCAGTCTCTGGTCATCCCTGTGCTGTCCGCAGTCTCTGGTCATCCCTGTGCTGCCCGCAGTCTCTGGTCATCCCTGTGCTGTCCGCAGTCTCTGGTCATCTCCTGTACTGTGTCTGCAGTCCATTAGTTCAGAATTTTTTTTTTTCATGTTTTCTGCCTCTAAAACCTAGGTGCGTCTTATGGTCAGGTGCGTCTTATACGGCAAAAAATACGGTACAATGCACTTTAGATAATTATTTACAGTAATAAATGTGTACTGTAAAACAGAATACTTATATAACAATAAATGACATGTAAATAAAAAAAAAAACTACAAATTAGTTATCCTGAGTTCAATTAACCATAGAATATATTTTGAATATTTGAAAAGAGACAATTAAAACATTTTCACAGATTAAGACAGTCTAAAAATCTGAGAGAAGAGATTTTCCAACTACTTAGTATGGGAGATGTATTCTGAATTTATGAAATAACTTTGAATTTACTTTCTTGATGAACTAGTGCACTTCAAAATGATTAGTAACCAGAGGCATTTTCCTTTAAACTGCATTCATCCTTTTGATTTTATGCATATCAGTGACCTAGACATCACACTTTTCCCTTGGTGGCCTGAATTTTACCTTTCTACCAAAATTATCTTTGATATCATGGTATTTTTAAAATGTTACTTGTAAGAAAATGAACAGTTCATTCAGTCTTAGGATAGGCATAATAAATGCATTCATCATTTATGTAATACAGTTATATAGTAAAAGTATATAGTATAGTAGTTTGTGAGCAACCGTACAAATTTAGCAAATAGTTGAAAACTATGTAATTATTATTTTGATTACAGAGATGAAGATACAACTGAATTTAAAATAAAATTCTCCAGAATAATCAGCTACTGTAAATAATTCATTCAAGAACCACCTTCAGTTCTTCCAATCTGTAGCTAGATAATTTAACCATACAAAAGAAACAAGTTGTGTGAGACCAGATTGGACTCTTTAATTCACTGACTAGCCCAATGTGGATATTTGCATGGATGCAGCATTTTTGTTCCTGGTAAGTTCAGTGGGTTTCCCTATGCTGCCCTACATGCCCTCCCACCCCTTTTAATCATTTATATATGAATGTTGTGATAAAAATATTTCTGAAACAGTTGTAATAATTTGTGATGATATTAAGAGTCAAACATTCAATGTCATACACATAGATAACATATAAACTACTTTATGCATCAATAAATGTTGCTGTTCTTAAAATGTTGCCAGAATAGTATGTATTAATAAAGAATATGGCACCTTGATTTTGATCCAGGGTACTATTTAATCCTGTCTCTTCTCCCTTTCCTCATCTCTTCCAAGTACTCTTCCTTAGAGTACAGCCTATTCCAATCTGTCTTCAACATCCCATACTCAAGGTGCTTCACTGGGAAGGAAAACACTTCAAAAGCACCTTGTCTAACAACACCCAAGAAAAACAATCAAAATGTGTTTAAAAAAGTTTGAAAAACATAAACCTGGTAGTGAATACATTTCTTTAATTTCTGCTGAACAAAAAAGAAACAAATTCAAATTCAATATCTGCATAGATTAAAACAATGTAAATCATAGCAGGTGTTCACAATGTGAAGCAGACTGCATTGATAAATTGGGAAAAGCATCACTGGAATATATCTGAGCATGTTAAGTCTATAGATCCTGTTGGAATTCAGGTAACAGATAAATACACAATTTAAATACATACACAATATATGTCACCTGTTTAGGTTCAGTGTGGCAGAGATGCATGTATTTCAACAATGTAACAAAATTATCTGTCAGAGCAAAATTACCCATCTCTATATAGCACCATAAAATAAAAAAAACAAGAGCAAAT